ACCCAAAATCGACAGTGGCCTATGTGATTAAGAAATGGAAGGTGAGCGGTGATTGTCGGAATGTGCCTCGAGTTGGCAGACAAACGAAACTGGGAGATAGATACCGACGAGTGCTGTCCAGAGAAATTCGGAAGAACCGCACCCAACCGATGGCCCTCATCCGCGAGGAGTTTCAACAGGCATCCGGGAGTATTGTTTCAATGAATACCATCCGTAAGGAAGCACATCTGCTGGGTTTTCATGGTCGTGTTGCTGCACATAAGCCTTTGATCACAAAGTATAACCGCGCTGCTCGGTTAATGTGGTGCAAAGCACATCGAAATTGGACCGTAGATCAGTGGAAACGGGTTCTTTGGAGTGACGAATCAAGGTTCACCCTTTACCGTTCGGATGGCAGGGTCTGGGTCTGGCGTCTACCTGGAGAACGTCTCCTGCCAGAATGCATTGTGCCAACAGTCAAGTTCGTTGAAGGTGGAATTATGGTCTGGGGGTGTTTCTCCTGGTATGGGCTGGGACCCTTGGTCCCCATTCATTGTAAGCTCAACTCCAATGCCTACTGCACTATTTTGGATGACAATGTGCTTTCTACGTTGTGGCAGTTTTACGGGTTGGACCCCTGTTACTTTCAGGACGACAATGCCAGTTGTCATGTTTCGACGTTAACCAAGGCTTGGTATGGTGCCAATGGAGTTCATAGAACTGACTGGCCTGCTGTGATTGATTAGTCCAGACCTGAACCCTATCGAGTCCCAAGAGTCCAGACTTCCAGTCCCAGAGTCCCAAGAGTCCAGACCTGAACCCTATCGAGAACCTCTGGGACGAGTCGCATCGCCGAATTCAGGGGTGCACTACCCGTGCAAAATCGGGGAAGGAACTTCTATGTCTTCTCCAAGCCGAGTGGAAGAAAATACCACTAGCTGTCATACAAAGACTTGTGGAAAGTATGCCCCGGAGGGTCCACGCTGTAATTACCTCTCGTGGAGGCTCTACCAACTATTGATTTTGAATAAAGTTAGTTTTTCTTTTCTATCACAGGTGTACAAATACTTATTGGTAGTCAGTGTAGTAATGAAGCAGGTGGAGAAGAGTGCTATCTGTACACGTACGGCGGGTGATAATTTGTGGCCAATTTCAGATTGGTCGTCTAGGGAACATATATCCCCCAGCTGATCACTGTTGGGGATGAAAGATATTAAAGATATTCCTCGTAAGTGCTTTTGTAGTGCATCTGCCATAAACCATCTTTTGTTAATAGATTAATTTCTTTGTAATAATTGTATACTGTGTCTTTGTAATTGTATATTCAATACGTAAGTATAGTATTAATGTAAAGTTTCTAAGTAAATATCTTGTTAGGCTGGCATCCGATGCGGGCCAAACGAAAGCCTAGCGGGTACAGTAGTGCGGCGGAGCAATACCTGTAAAAGTCATTGACGAAGTTCTGGTGCTCCGTCCACTTTTCACTGTCCCTGCATTAATTAGTTTTTCAATCCGGTAATCTTAACGCTAGGGTTCAATTTATGGCAAAAAATATTATAAATTTTACTAGCAGTTTAAATATACCTTTGTGCTCTACACAGCTGAGGGTTAATATTACTGAGTTTTTGAAACACGAAGTGCTTCTTCAGACAAATCCCATGTTTCTCTTTTATTTCATAAATTGAATAACGAGATAAGTCCCTAATAAATCCGGCCCTTGTGATCTCAGAAAGGCGAAATTAAGTCTTGGATATTTGTCGTTCAGCTTTTCTAATTTATTTAATTTTCAGAAAAGATTATGCTAAATACTTCTTGAACCATAATTAAATTCAGTATCTTTCATAATTAAATTCAGTTATATATATAGTATATTAATCGGTGGACATAAAATTAAATTACAATGGCCTATTACAAATCAGCCTATTACTAATTAGTCTGTTGGCATAGAGTAGTGTCATATTTACTTCCTTGTTTCCAAATGTAGTTAAAAATTTAATCCGGATATATTGCCATACGGATAATCCTTTCCTTTCTTCCAAGGTGCTCAGTAAAAAATTCAACACATGGCAAATCTAAAGTGAACTGTCTTTCTTGATTTCTCCAAACTTCTACACATTTTGATACATATTCTTCAGCAAAGCTTCTGAAACGAACGAATAATTCTGAACGAACACAGATAAGAAATATGTCACCAAATATTACAGACCCTGGACTCTTGCTTTTCGTTTTTTATTTAGTTAATTAAATCCGAGTTCATAATTCAGTTCATAATTTAGTTCATAATTCTTATTTATGGAGCTTGATAACTCCATAAAATGGTTATGATGTCACCACTGGAACAGTCTTAATCCTCCCTCCATTTTTATATAATGGCATCAAGCCTTTTACTGAACATCATATGTGGCAAGTAAGATGAAAGTGAGTACGAGCAGTTACAGCAAAGATATGATCAATAAATAATGCTTCGCAAAGCAATTTTCATATAATATAAACAAATAATTTCTTATATAACTGCCTTTGGTTGAAAACTAAACCAATATGATTGACAGTTACTGACTGTATTTTTTTTTATAGGTAAACAAACTCCCACGTCTACCAACAACTGTAGCAAGTAAATGTGTGAAGTGCATGAGATTGACGTACGGATAAACGTGTGAAACACATGGTCACACACTCTCTGGTTCTTTGGATTCCCGAATATTCAGTAGAAACTATTAGTTTTGGACACCTCAATCAAATTTGCTTAATCTTTCCTGCAACCAATATGCAACTAAGGCGAAAATCCGCAAACAGCCTCCGTATTAGCAGGAAGACCGAGCGATGTCTACAGAGAAGCCTCAAAAGAGGGACTAAACAAAATCACTTGCTACGCTATGGGGGCATCAATACCACAATGCAGACCTTTTTAACAGAATCCGCTATTTCAGTCCCCAAGGCTGAATCGGACACCAGGCACTTCAAACCATGGGTCTCGAAGACTACCAAGGAGGGAGGCAAACTGTAGAATAATTTTTTCTGGCCGTCACACTACCCACTCGGATGTGGCCTAAGCCACGATCATCTGGGATAATATAGGCTACCCTTTCTGGCTGTGGGAACTGGGTCCGTCTTATTATGCACACAGAGCAGCTAAAATACTGTAAGCCAGTATATGCAACCTCGGGGAGTCCAATCTGGGTACCAAAACGAAACGAATTTAAACGATAAAAATATACACTAGTAAAAACACAAAATAAAAACTCAAGAAAATGACAAATGTTATATTACACGCAATTGAAACTTCTGATACTTCAGATTAAGCAGAGGTAAGTAACAGCTACAGGAAGATTTCATTTTGTAGCAAAGATAAAAGTGAAGTTATTTTGCAGACAAGAAATTAACTAATTCCATATTACTCTGCTTTAGACTGATCATTTAAAAAATTCAACAACGGGCACTCAATAACAAAACTGTTTGAAGGGAATTTTTGCTAGAAACTTATAGTTGTGGGCTATAAGAAAACTGCCTCAGCATAAGCTTTTGAAAATTGAATGCTAAATTTTCCGTTTAAAAATCATATCAAGCTACTTCCAGCAAACCCAAATGTAGTACGTTGAACAAGGATCTTCCAAATCTCCGGAAAAACTTCACTGTTAAAATTCCCATTTGTTCCATTCTTCATCCATATGACTTTCAGAGTCTATAAATCTTTATGAATCCATAAATATGAGCGATCCCAAAAATAAGTCATTTCGTAAACTTTTCCTCTGTATTGATTTGCTTCATAAATTAAGAGGGAAACGAAAATCTATGAACTAGAGTCGGACAGTTTCTCTAAAAGTAAAATTTATCTTTTAAAGAAAAGTGGAACGTGTCCGGGCGTGTCCTCAGCCGTATCGATGGCCGGGGCAATCCATAAACATTAGGCAACGCGCCGCCGAAGACGGAGTTTGACTTCTCCCACTGGGACAATCGCTCAAGAGTCTGTTCTTCTCAAGAATCCAACTTCGTCAAAAGTTTCGCCAATTGATTAGATTACGAAGTGATTAGTCTTCCGGCGAAGGCTCGGGCGAAATTGAATTTTGTTGTTCGCGTTTGACTGCGAATGTTAAATACGTTTGATGAGGGGTTTATTTATTTAATTTTATTACGCAGCTGCCTTATTTATTTATTTTTTTCTCGGCTATCCTATTTGTAATCCGATACGTTGCCACTCACGAACACTAGACAATAGTAGAATGTCATAAAGGCATCTGGCATGTTTAGGCCGGCACTATGAATTTAACTCATTTGTATCGTTTTTCTAACAGCTTATGCAGTGAATAATTTATTTGGCCGAGAAAACCAATGCTTATAAATTAATAAGTATCAGAAATCTTTTATAAATGTCATTATGTAAAGTTTCCTTAGTAGTGATTTGTTTCGTAAATTAGAATGAAACAACATATATTAATTCTTAGATGTTTGTCTAGAAAATAATCTTTTAAGAATAGGGAAATATTTCCAAATATCCATGATGAATCATCTCACACATATAAAAGACAAACGTTTACTCTTATTTCCTTTTATTTCTTTCTTTATAGGGAAAATAATGCGTGACATGTAGTGTCTCGAACTGCAAATATGTATTCTTAACAATTTTAATAATGGGGAGAAACATTTTCATATGTCAGCCTTTATTTAAACGTATTGCTGTTGATGGAATTTTACGTACGGGTGCCACGTGTAAAATAGAAAATCTTTCAGCATTAAACAGGATTCAACAAACATCAGACTGAATTCATTGCTCGAATGCATACGTCTGTCATCATGATAGAGAAAAACGGACTCAGAAACTTCATATTGTGTACCCCATTCGGCTATTTCAGTGGTCTATATCAATTAAAATGTATTGATAAATCTTTCCTCTATTCATAAATCACTGAAAGATTGATTAAAAATTAGTTTAAAAATTATTGGCAATTCTAGCTAAGATTATTAGAAGAAATTCTGGAAATTGGGAAATAATAAGGTATAAGGTATTTATCCCGTCTTTTTAGCGTGCCTTCGTGGTGTAGTGGTCAGCACACTGAGTAAGCATTTCAGAGGTCCGGGGTTCGATTCCCAGCGAAGGCGACTGTTAATTTTTCATCTCGCTTACTTCCAAAAAAATCCTAATGTCTCTACAAAGGAAGAGCTATAAATCAGTTACACTAATTAATTCATGGGTAACTTCCGTGGATGAACAACAGCGCTGGCAGAACGAAGCGGAAAAATTTTCCTTTCATGTACTTTTATTTTATTAGCATCAAATTTACATGACTTAAACATTATACCTTTTCAACCCTATAAATTCCGTTTTTAACAAAATAGGCACAGAACAGACCAATCGTCGACCTGTTGCTAATAGGATCAAGCTCTTCCCCTATCTTTTACGTTTTGGGGCCTTTTCTTATTCTCTGAAAAACGACAATAAATTGTACAAAATATAGGTTATTATACTAGTGCGGTCTTCGAGCAGTGCTAATTGTTCCCTATGATAACGCAGCACTGATTAAGACTAAAATATTTAAATCTAGAACCAAATAAGTACTACTACTCAAATTAGAAGTTACCAACCACATGCCTTTGGAAGCAGATGCCTTATGCTACTCTTTTCAAGGACCCTCTTTTGATATTAGCGGTTAAACTAATGATACTATCTGCAAAGCACACTCTACAGTACTGGTACAGATAACCAGAGTTTGTTCTGATATTCACTGCGTAACTGAGTTGACTGTTCTGATATTCATTGCGTAACTGAGTTAGTTATGCTGGAGGCTGCCATTGGAACCTTAGTTCACCTGGAAGATTGGATGAACTGCGAACAGCTTTAATCAGCAGTTTTGACTAATATTTATATTTGGATTCAGTGGGGTCCACATATGGTAGATTGGTATCGAAAGTATCCCAGTTTTTGAAGCTTCGTACATTTATTTATTACTGTATAACCTGAAAATTTCATAGTCTTTATTTCTGAAATTATAATTCCTGTACTGAAAACTGATGATCAAGCCTTTTCCGAAATAAAAGAGGTAGTGGTCTTGCCTGTTACAATGGCTATTACTTCATTTATCGATGGTGAACCTTAAACAAAGAACACGTACGTAAAGAAGGAAAGTTTCACGTAATTAAAAAATAATAATAAATAAATAAATAAATAAATAAAGATCATGCGTCTCTATCGAGGAAGGGCAAATTGTCGTCGCAAAATCAGGTGTACAGGAAATTCAGGAATACAGTACTAAAACAAAAAACGTATAGGACTCGTTCTTTGACAAAAATTTCCACGATAATTTGAACTCAGATTTTTGTAAATTTTGTTACTCAATAATCCATTCAAGTTGCGAGGATCACTTATTTGATTTGCGTTGATAAGGCGGGGGGAGGGAAATGACATCAGCTTTTAAAAACATGACCTTCGACTATTTCGCGCATGCACAAAAAAGTAGTACTGCTGGATAGCCCCTGTAAAGTAAACTTAAAGCATATTTTTTACCTCTGCGGTCTGACGAGCCACTCCTGGTTTGGTGAAGCCTTTTGTTCTTAATGTACGCGTTCTTTGCCTTAGATGCTTGATATGAGCCTTCGGCATGCATGCGTGACATCTAGTATAAGTGCGGTTATAATAAATTTTGCTACTCGAGCCTACATGCAGTGGAAATTCTACATGGATAGCATTTTCACGATCATAAAATTAGTAACGAAGTCTCATTGGTTATGGAGTATTAGTTGCTCGGTGTAACAGTACAGGAAATATTTCACGAATTATGTAAATGTCATAAAGAAATCTCGGATAACAACAGAAAGCTATTTAAGAAGAATGAGTTGAAGGACAGAAGCTTTGTAATAAATATAGAAAATCTGCATAATGTAAATGGCAGGCAGTTAAAAATAAAATAAAAATCAATTTGAAAGAAAGTATGATAAATTCATACCACTTTCATTGGCCCTTCCCAAACAGTATAAATTAGTCAACTATTTTAAACAGTTCCGGAAAAGGAATTATACAAACAACGGGTAGATAACTTGTCTACTCAGGTTCAAAAACTATTTTATTTATAACAGCAAAATATAAAGAACACGATGCTTTTAAAATACTTCTTTTTGTATTAAATACTGCTTAATTAAAGGCATAATATAATCTTAAACGTAACGTGAAATGAAATAATAAAAATGTTCATAATTAATTTCAGTTTTTTTAGAAATGAATAACGAGAACTAATGAAAAGTTAATAATGAAACAATGAATTAAAGATTTTAAAATTTATTAGTAGCTAAAACTTGCGCTTTTCTCAAACACTTCATTAAATTGTGAGCGAATAAAACCATCGCAAAGTACACGAAGCATTCATTTCCTCTATAAACTGGCGCTAATTCAAAGTACCGTCTTATAAAGCAATTAAGAATTTCCGACATTCGGCATCAATTACTCTTCAGACTAGCGTGCTCTTTAATAATGTTAACTACCAGTTAAATATTCTTCATTTAATTGATTCAAAGAGGAAAAAAATCTTGTATGCAAACTAAAGCACGAAACAGAGCAATTAAAGCTTCGCGATTCAAATCGTACGTATTAAGTAGTCGAAATTTTACTTCCCCGGTTCTCCCTCCCCATATCCCAACTTTACGTGCCATCTGAGAATTCTTCATGAACGATAACAAGACTATCTTTCCTCTTAATATCTTTAGTTAGAAAAAATAGTTAAAAGAAGCATTTAATTACACCAATAAAAATTTCATTTCGCTTTAACATTTTTTTTTCCTCTCATTCTTAAAAAAAAGTAAAAGAAAAATAAAAAAAAAAAAAAAAAAAAAAAAAAAAAAAAGCTGTAAAAAAACAAGACTTAAAAGCGTTTTTTTTATCACAGAGCATTCTAGTAATTTTAACACAATTTTTTGGATTAAATAGCGCTTGATTCTGGCTCAAGTCACTAGGGAAGTCAGAGTAATACGAAAAAGAAAAGGGAAGAAAAAAATGTGTATTAAATATTAAATGAACCACAAAGTGTTCTTTAAAAGTGAAATCGTCCCCATAAGGATAAGATGGTCTTAAGTGGAATGTATAGCGTAATGGAAAAAAGTAACTAAAAGAAAGGGAAAGTAAATGAGTAAAAAATTAAAAAAGTCGACCTGATGATTATGTTAAAAAGCGTCTGAAGAGCGTGAAAATTCCCAAGGTGGTGTCATTTCCAAAGTGCTTGAATGAGCCACGAGTTTGTTCATTAGCGTTCTCCATTTCCGATGAAGCTCATTTGTTCCAGTTGAACTTTTTTTTTTTTTTTTTTTTTTTTTTTTGCTTTTAAAAAATTTACTTTTTAAAATGCTCGCATTTGTCAGGCTGTTGAATTAAACATTTTTCTTAATTTCCATTTCTTAATTATAAAATTAAAAAAAAACTGTTTCACTGTTACCGGATATAATTCTACAGCTACTTATATTTTCATGAAAGAACAGCGGAATGTTTTCTTACGAAATATCAACCCAGAAATCTTGAAGCCAAAAGACCCCAGTCAAAATTCAAAATTCTTCTCGTCAGGAAAGCTTTTTTCAAATGTTTTGACCAGTACCTATCTGTCAAGAAGAAGATTCTTACAGTTTTATTTTCCTTTTTTTATGATGCATCTAGACAGAGTTAAAAACGAAGGGTTTTATACTTCGATAATTACAAGCCATCTTCCAAATGTTTACCAAACTTTTCTAAAACGTGTGAGCAGCTATAAGTGTAACAGTTTTTGGACCAGAAAACAACCACAAAAACACCAAAAACGTTTCCAATCAGATAATACAGAAAACAGCCTGTCAGAAAGTGAAAAGTATACATAAAAACGTTCCAGAGAACCGAACCTGAAGGGGTACATACAATGTAGTAGAATGCAAACAACTAACTCTTAATAATGAGTTTTGCAGTGGTGCTTGAAAACTATTTCAGCAGTAAAACAAAGAATTACTGCATAAATTTTTTTCTTGATCAAAATATATTTTATTGTCAATGTTTAACAGTGTTCTTACTGAATAACTACTATTTCTTACTGAATAACTACTTTCCACTAATTAGTAATGGGTAATATGTTTTAAGCTTAACATTTTGAATAACTAGTTTGAGTTTTAAGTAATTCTCTACAATAAAATACATACAAAGCCATCTGCATGCATTTTCATTGCATAATAGAAAATTTTACAGCAGGGACAGGGAAAAGTGGACGGAGCACCAGAACTTCGTCAGTGAGTTTTACAGGTGTTGCTCCGCAGCACTACTGTACCCCGCTGGGCTTTTAGTTGGCCCGCATCGGATGCTAGCCTACCAAGACATTTACATAGTAATTTTACATTAATATTAGACTTACGTATTGAATATACAATTACAAAGACATAGTATACAATTATTGCAAAGAAATTAACCTATTAACAAAAGTTGGATTATGGCAGATTGATATAACATAATTACTTCGAACATACATACAAACTTTCATTGTACATTGTACTTCATACAAACAATATTTTACATTAGTATATCTAGTTACATCGAATTAAAAATAAACATCATTTTAAGGAACTAATTGAATATTTTTTTTTTTTTTTTTTTTTTTTTTGTGCATTTTTATTATACTTTGTTGAATTACTAAGGCGAATTCTCTTATTAATACATTTCCTTTCATTTTTTTAACTTGTTACACACAAATGCATCAGCACACATTTTACAGCAGTAATATTTTTTATTTCAAAAGTTGGTTTTCACTAGTATGATATTAAAATAATAACAATTTTTGTTTTATCATTGGTAAGACCCGCCTAACGCTAGAGGGCGCTGAGAGCGCCATTGAGTGTGTGCTGAGACTCGATGGCAGTTACTCGTATACTGTACTCGATGGATGATGTGCGATTACTGAGATTGAGATATTATTATATTTAATTAAATCAATTTTTATTTTATTGATTGGTGATTATTGATTTTGATTTATTGATATGAGATGTGATATTATGTTTTGCTGAACCACCACACTTTCAACAAACTTGGATTACCACTAAATCTTAAAACCACCGATGCGCAATCATATAATGTTAATTAAAACGATTATTTATTTTAAAATTATAAA